TATGCATTTCTTCCTAAAACTTGGCCTTGTGCAGCCAGAATTAGCCCCTCTGTCTCTTTCTTCAACTTTCCTGCTCTTAGCCATTGCCAGGTCTTGTTGTCTGCTTTGCCTGCATATTATTATTATTATGGTTGGTTGCACAGTCAGCCAGATGTTTAGACTGGATTTGGCATTTTTGCCCACCTATCGAGTCCTTCCAAAGGACCTGGGATAGGCAGATGCGGTTGTTTGATGATGTTAAAGGTATCGTCGCAGGATGTAAGCTGTTCCAAGTAACAGCTTATAACAGCTTATATCCTGTGATTATTACTACTACTACATTGAGTAGGCTTGTTGGGGTTCTACCAAGGACAGTAAAAGAGGAACTTTTATCTGGCCTTTGAAAAGTACACATATGGTCTTCATTTGGGTATAAATGCCTAAATAAGTCTTTGATCCTCAGATGGGTTGAGGCTGCAACTCCCCAAATTCACAATCAGAAGTGCAAAGCGAATTCCAGCTGAGGATTCTCGGACTTGTAATCTCAGCATATATGAAGGATGCCTGGCTGGGGAATGCTGAACTAATTAAATGTTAGATTGTTGGAGGTTGCATATTCAAATATTCTAAGACTTGCTAATTTTTTTTCCTCCCAATGCAGCAATAGAGGCTCTTTGGTAATTTCATCCCCAGTAAGCCCAACCAGCAACTCTTTCCTGCCTTCAGGGAATAGCATAAATAAGGCACCCACGTCTCTCATTGCCACTTCCCCAAATCAAGACGGAGAATCTACTTCAGCAACCAAGGTGGCATCCACAGCTGTTTGCAGCAATGAAGCAGAAGAAGAGGTCAAAGAATTGCAAAATGAGGCAGGGCACGGAGCCGAGTCAGACTCTCAAGCTGTTTGTGGAGCAGAAGGCAAAAGCCAAGAGGCAAAACTGGAAGAGCTCAAAGTTGCTTCCAGCAGCACCCTTGAGGTAGTGGCAAAGAACCTTGCGGCGGAGATCCTATCACAGGCAATGGTTGAAGTTGCTGGCAAAGGGCAAAGCATTTCTAAAGACTCAGAAGGTCCTGCACAACCCTTCTTGGAAGAAAACTTTGAAGCCAATGATACATGTGGAAAAGATGGTGGTTCTCCACCCCAGGCAAAGGATGAAAACCCAGCTTTACTGAAACACGACCTTGAGCACGCCAAAGACATCCAGGATGAGATGCAGGTTGAGAAAGCCAATGGTCAGGACAACAATGGGCCACCTGGAGAGAGCTCTTCTTGCCCTGAAAATGATCCCCAAGATCTTCCCTCTTCAACCAAAGATGAAGTAGACTTAGAAGAGGTCCCAATTGCAACCGATGATTCTGCTCTACCAAATACGGAGACAGATGCAAGTGGCCGGGGCTGCAGTGATGTGGAAGATGGTAACAGTAGCAGTTCTGGAAGCATGGAAGAAATTGAGATTTCCCCCAAGGGTACCAATGCTCAGGTAAGAGACAAGAGGAAACTTCACCCACCCCTTTCCAATTGCTAATTAATATTTATTTATTTATTAAATTTGTCCCCGCCCATCTCCCCCCAGTGGGGGACTCTGGGCAGCTCACAACTCATTAAAAACAATAAATAAATATACAATTAAAAGGCTATATAAATAACTGCTGTAGCCAAGATATTCCCATAGGGGACCCAAAATAAATCTATTGCGACAATGGAAGAAAGCTTCTCCTGTGTAGTAATTCAGATGAATATGATATTTTACATGTTAGACATATCTGTGTGCAGGGGATGGACATATTTGCTGAAAAAATCAGGAGAAAAATTAAATGCCACTGGCTGTCCAGCTCTTCATTTAGCTGCAAAGAGCAAGGAGGCCCGTTGTCAGAGCAGGAAAATGGAGACATGATTATTTTTGTTATATATGTATCATTAAACTGGCATACAAAACACTTTCTCACAATTCTTCCCATCACCAGTCAACATCCTACCACCTTTTCCCAGCAGCAGGCCCAGCCCCTTTTCTTCCTCTTAGTAGTACAGTAATACATAGCCCCAAACCTGTTTTTGTTCCTTTTAGTTTCTCTGAAAGCCTAAATTCCTTTTGCACCAAACTTTTTTATCTTTTTGCAGACATTAACTATTTGCTGGTATAGCTTCCTTGATCACTAAACCATCTTCCATTTCCTATACATATCCCATATTCATTTCCTTTTAGCTTGATCAAAAGCTCCCTAGAAATCCCTAAGGAAAATCCCTCAGAACCTTGCAGCTCCCTAAAAATCCATAATGATTTCCTAAGCTACCTCCATTTTTTCTCCAAAGAATGGTATACAATTGGATTTCCAGCAACTTATTTTTGAAAAGTTCCCAACTTTCCTACCCGCCCTTTGACCTGAGGATTTTGACCTGTGAGATCCCACCTAGTCCTTCTCTAAACTGGTTGAAATTGTCTCCCCTGAAATTTAGTTTGCATGTATATTATATAAAATATTTATTTATATTTATATTTTAAAAATTGTCTTTTCATGACAAAAGAAGTAGTGAGAGAATGCTGAAGGGCTGCATAAGCAAGAGGATGTCTGAACCCACCCATAAAATGAAATAATTGAAATGAGGCAGCAGGGTAATTGACCAATCAAAGTTCTGCCCAAGAGCACCCAAATGTACAGTTTGAACCCTGTATTGGTCTATGACTGAAATAAGTATGATGATGATGAGTTTGAACCCTGGGATGATACATTTTGCCCAGAAGTGTTTCCCTGAGTGGAGGATGTAGACCTATTAGTAATCCCTCCACATCCATCGCTGAAACAAATGCTCCTCTGGAAGTGAACTCCTAATTAACTTTTAATATGCTTTAATTAAACTTTTCCATAGCACTCACATAAATATTTTAAACATTTGTAATTCGTTTTTTTTAACCACAATATTCAGGGTAGGTCATAAATGCTTAAAAGAAATATGATGAAGTCCCTTTAAAATAATAATAATAATAATTCCAAAGAAATGTATAACTGATAGTCTTTAACTTCTATATTTCTTAAAGGTTTGCCTCAGTAGGACAGATTTGTCTTTGTGTCAGGATGATAATGTGGGGAAAGAGTGGAATGCAAATATTTTGAAGGGAAGGAGCTCCAAAGTCCTAATGCACTATATCATATTCCCTTGGCTTCTTTTTTTTTTAAATAGTAATCATATTGAAAATTACAATTACAAAGATAAAAACTAATACAAACTTTAAAAAAACCCAGAAAGCATAAGAAGAAAAAATAGAAAGTGCAGAAAAGAAAAAAAATAGAAAGAAAAATAGAAAAGAAAGAAAACATAAGACTATAGTAAAGAAAAAGAAAAGAAATATATAAAGAAATAATTTCCCCCTTCATCATAACAAGTATAAACAATTTTAGTAACTTATTACCTTCTCTTAAAATATAAATGATCTCTTCTTCCCATATCCCATCTCTTATCTATAAACAAATCCTTTGTTTCAGTCCTGATCAGAAGAAGTCCACTAAGGGTTATTAGAGATAACAACATCTATTTTAAGCTTGATCAAATAAACCAACTTTATATTCCTTCCTTTTACTTTTAACAATCTTGATCTTTATTCCCTTCAAATAATGTCCTAGAACTTGATTTCTTTTCATTTTTACATTGTCCCTTCTCACAAAATTCTTCAAAGCTTCAACAAACCTCTTTTGTAAATCCAGTGTAGGAAAATTATCCAAGTCACTCTCTTGGTTAGTCATTTGTATATCCCTTTTAATTATTAAGACATCAGTCAGTTTCTCTTGTATGTCCAGGGTAGCATTTTTTTCCATATCATTCTTGTAGCCTGTCATTTTTAAATCCACTTTCAGAGCAGTCTCAGTCTTGTCTGGTAAAACTTGTTCCTCTTCCACAACATCTTTTAAACACAGTCTATCTATAGAGGCAGACACTCTTAAAATTAACTTCTGGATCGATTGTTCAAAAATATCCTTCAGTATGTCCAATATTAAAATATTTTGCTCCATTCTGTATTAAGTCTGTAAGTCAAATTTAAGTGTTCTTCTCCTTTAATTGTAATCTTTAGTTCCTTCTGGTTTCCTCTAGTGTCCAACCTTCAAAGTCGTAAGTCAAATTTAAGTGTTCTTCTCCTTTAATTGTAATCTTTAGTTCCTTCTGGTTTCCTCTAGTGTCCAACCTTCAAAGTCTCATCCTATCATGTTTTTTTATAAAGAGAATTCAAAATAAAGCATTTTCCCATGGGAAGGATTCTAATTAATTCCAAAATCTTATTTCAAATCCATTTGGACCCTTAGTCTGTTTGTATCTTTCCAAAATCAAAGTTCTGATCACCCTTTTGCTGTTTATTCCAAAAAATATTTTTTTTTTTAAGTCCTTATATTTGTATTTAAAACCTGTTTCACTAAGGACTGAAGGAAACTCACCCGATGCTGTAAAACTTGTCAATCCAAAGGTTCCTAATAGCTGAAAAGCAGTTTATAAGCAATTTTCAAAAGTGATTAGAAAAGGAAGTATGCGAACTCAGTATCCTTTTGAAGGCACCAACTGTGGTTTGAGCAAGATGGCTATTTCCTTATCTCCCAAATGCCCCGGAGACCACTGTCTCCAGTTTCCTCACAAGGGGCAGCTGTCTGGAGCACATCAAGTTTTCTCCTCATCTGTAGAGGAATTATTGAAGAGCCAGTCTACTTGCCAGCTCTTCATTCCACCGCTGTCATCAGCTCTGCCATTTCTTCTCCGGAAGGCCTCCCCTGGCTTCTGATAATGTGGGCCTATAGGCTGTAAACCTAGTTTAAAGGTTGATAATTACATGGGATGATATAGGTGATTAAAAATTTGTGCCTCTTGCCTATACAACAATTCAGGCCTCAGAGGCACATGGGAGAGGCAAGCAGAAAGAGAGGGATAAATTCCAGATTGAGAGGGTTCTGGGCCAAGTATTAAGGGAGGAGGGAGAGATCCTTCTTAAGAGTCTAGAAACTTAAGAGGGGTGGTCGGCTTGGGTTGAATGCGCCTGAGGAAAACAACTGAGGCAATATTATTGCTCATGCTTAAGGATGTAGATGAAAATATGTTTTTGTGTACAGGTAAGTCATGATTAGTGCGAATTTGAATAATGCAATATTCGATTTAGTGAAATTGTAAACTGATACCAAGTCATGTTTAATATGATTCAAAATTCAGTCAATGCAAGGCTACCGTATGTGCAATTGAAGCTAGTGCATGCACAGTTGTGGTTGTGGTTTTAGATGCTGCCTGAATCTGTGGTAGAATTTTTTTGTTTGGATTTTGCTTTCTAAAACTAATTTCTGACTTTGTTAATCATACATCTATATACTACTAAAACTCTTATTGTGTTTATCTGTTGTCTGTTTGTACCCTCAAGTTAGCCAAAATAGTGCATTATATCGCAACAATTTTTGAAGCTAGGTACCTAAAATCTGCTAACTTAAAAAAATCCAGGGCCCATTACTTCTGTTTCCACGATGTTCAGACCAGTTTTATTTGCAAAGTTGTGGCTGTTGCAGCATCCTTGCAGTCACATGATCGTGATTTCCAACGCTCCCTGCCAGCTTCCCACAAGCAAAGTCAGTGGGGAAGCCAGCAGGAAGTCAGAAGTCGCTCCCACTCCCACAGCCTTTTTGTCCACCTGTGGCCATTCTGTCTATCTGTTTAGATAAGTAAATATTGACTTATTGAAGTTCATTTGCCACTACAATTTTTCTATTTATGATATATACTCTTCTTAGATGATCATGGGACCGTCCAGCATTGGGATAAAAAAAATATGATCAGCCTAAAATTTAATGTTCATTTTGGTCACATCAGACTGCACTATCTTTCTCTCAAAGGATGACTCAATGGGTCATAGGGTTGTCTAGTTGAAATTATGTATAAGTATATTCTTTTTATCCTTTACCATAATATTTCATTAATATGCATATAAAAATTATGTTTAAAATTTTTCATTGCCTAATTCCATTAAGCTGGAACCAATTACCACATTTTCCATAGACATATCACTTTGAATAGTGCACATTCAAATAATGCGATCATTTCATGAGATTCATTAACCACACTAATCGAGACCTACCTGTATTCGTAAAAGATACCCAGATCTCCTAAGGTCTTAGGAAATTGGATGGAGCCAATGAGAATTAAAAAAAAAACAAGCAGAATTTGAATGGTGGCTTGCTAGGCTAGGCGCTCTGTAAAAGAGGGAAAAACAGAGAGCTGGTACTGGAAATCACAGGAGAGAGAGAGAATGTCAGCCCTTCAAGGTGGTCCAGATAAGAAACCAACACCATGAATACTACCTTTATTGTAAGGTTACAGTAACAGAATCTTGCAGGTCTGAAAGCACTTCTCCCCTCCCCTCCCTTGCCTTTACTTTCCAGGGAACTAGGGAGGGTCCCTTCTGAGACACTTTCCACACCTCCATTCCTTCTGTGGGCTGAGATGTCTTTTATCTGACCGTTGCCCAAGCTGCAGCTCTTCCTCCTCCTGTCTCTCAAGGATATTCCCACAGATCATTACAGAGAGAGATTTCAGTGTGAAAAGCTTTTTCACTAAGCTGCCATCCCAGGGTCCCTTAGCTATTGCTGAACTATCTTGTGTATAGGCTGGATATGCAACTGCAACAAACTGAGTTTAAATCAAAACAATGTGCACCTGTGATGTCATGCTGCAAACTCTGACCTTAGCTACTTGCCTCCCTGGGTCTGACACAAGTACATCTGTTTAGCATTGTGATGCACATTTTGTCACTTACCCTCTTGTTCCTCCTTGAGAACACCTCTGGGTAATAGATATGGCCAGGAAGGAGACAGAAATGTCATAAACAGGGATACTGAAAGGCATAGGATCAGAGAGCATCAAGGCTGCTCACAGCGTTTGTAGGATGCACAACACCAAACAGGCAAAGAGTTAGCTCTCCAGTCTTCCCAGGGCAGGAGAAGGGATCAGAAATTCTGCTGAATGCCTTCATTTTGGACAGAATCATGACAACCTCCACATACTGGAGATTAACTATCTGCAAAAGGGGTCTTGCTATATGTAGCTAGGTTTCCCACTGCAAAGGTTGGTCTTCCAGCACAGGACGTGAGCAGCTGGGAGATGCAGCAGTGGCTGAAACAGTGAGCTGAGCTAGCTAATTCATATCATTCTCACTGTGTGAGGGAACAGACCTATTTCTGCATGCCACTAATGACTAAATTATCAATGCAATTAATATACATACTGCAGTGTCTCTATCTCTAACAAGAAATGGAACAACCAGCCTCATAAGGGGCTGAAACAAAGGGATTCTAAAGAATTTGAACTGTCCTCCTGTTGGTTTCATTACAGGCAAGGTCTTTATTTAGTGAGAAACTCCAATTACAATAATGAAGTCTTTCTTTCACCTGATCTCTAACTGGCTGTAAAAAGCCGCTTTGAATTTTTAAAAAGGCAGTTTTGGAGGTTTCATAAGGAAGGAATCCCCCTCCCCCAAATGGTAGTCATCTCTCCTTTCCATTTCCTTTAGGCTCTAAGCTGGGATTGCATTAAGACAGGACTTTTAACCATGATCTGTTGAAGTTACTGGCCTGGTTCATAATGGTAAACCATAATGGATAGGTCCATACATCATCGTAAGCCAAAAGCAACCAAGCTACATGGATTAACAGTAGGGGAGACTCTGGTCTGAATTTTGTTTGTCTGTCTGTAAGGTGTTGAAAGCCCCTCTCGTTTTATTGCAGAAGACCGCTACCTCATCAATCCCCAGGTATCTGAAGATCAGGGGTCTGATTCCAGATCTCCTTACAGTTAGGCAATATCCTTTTCCTTTGACCCTTAAATAACCACATGGTCTTTTTACTTCAGATCATTTCTAGTTTTTTCCCAGAGGATAAAGAAGAGAATGAGAACAAGCTGCCCTCGGGTTTCCTGTTCAAGGTAAGTAGCAGCAATCAAATAGCTGGCTTTTAGGCTTTCCCAGTTAAAGCGTAATGAGTCATAAAAACCTAGGCCTGGATTAAGGGAGGGTGTTAATCCCAAACCTCGACTGTTAAGGCCTGTGTTGACCTTTTTTTTTTTTAACTTTAAATATTCTTTTTAGCCTTTTCTGTGCTATTGAATGGGCGGGGGCGGATGGATGGATGGATAGCTGAGTTGCTCATTCGAAGCTGCATTGTTTTATTATTTTCACACGTTATGTTCCAGGCTCAAGCAACCCAGGCTCATACTTCAGAGGATGACAGCCATCTTCAGTTTGAAGAAGGAGATATAATACTTGTGATATCAGACATACAAGCAGAGGTAACACTGGGGACTTATTGGGCATGACAATTTGAAATGCATTTGGCAAATGAGGCTCTATCTTAGAGGTGGGTGTCCCATAGTTCTCCCATGTAGTATTGAACTACTACTCCCAGCAGATCCAGCCAGCATGGTCAAATCCCTCCGCAGCTCCTAGACTGGATTGATAGACATACGTATTATATTTATATGTTGTATTTCCTCTGACAACGTTTCCCACTCCCCTTCGATCCTCATGAGGTTGGTTATGCTGAGAACCAGTGCCTGGCTCAAAAACATCCAGTGACCTTCCAGGCCAAATGAAGACTTAGGATTCTGCAGTCCTAACACAGCACTCATAGCAATCTTTTTTCTGCCAGTCTGGTGAAACCAAATTCTGAGTAAACACTATTATGGTCTCGTAAGGTAGTAAATTACTATCAGCTGTCCTGACAGGTTCTGATCAAGATGCATCGTGTTCTACTCTGCCCACTGATTTGTCACATTCTGCCCGGATGCAACTCCCATCTAACAGATTCTGATAGCTTCCTGCCTGATCCACCAGCTACACCCTCTCAAGCCCAGAAAGTTTTTTTTTTTTTAATCAAATGTTGGCAACTTTGACCCCATAGCTCTTGAAAGCAATGAGTTATGAGTTGAAACTCATGGTCCTTGGGCCACGTGCAACCCTCCAAAGAATTTTCTGCAGTTTGCAACAATGCTTTCTAGGCACGGAGGACACTGTGCAGCAAAGCCAGGGTGTTGAATACTACATAGGCACAGGATGGTTCATGGTAAGGGCTCCAGGAAGAGGAGCAACACGACAGGGATAACTGTACAACTTCCTTGGCCCAACTGGGAAAATCTCCCACCAACACTGGAGCTTGAGTGACTAGGCTGCACAGGTGATGCCCATAGGCTTCTCACACAGAACAGCACTATCCTCTGGGAATCCCCACCTGTAGAGGACACAGGTAATGGCCTTTAAAGACAGGAGGAGGAGCTGCTACCAAGGCAACAGTCAGATAAGAGGGGCTTGAACCCAGGCCAAAAAAATAACTTGAGAAAACATCTCAGAGGGGGAAGCACATCCAGACTTGCAAGATTCTGTTACTACAGCTGTTTTATTTTTTTAGATTTTTTTAAATCCCACCTTTCTTATTTTTTTATAAATAACTCAAGGCAGTGACCATACTTAATACTCCTTCCTCCTCCTATTTTCCCCACAACAACAGCCCTGTGAGGTGAGTTGGGCTGAGAGAGAGGGAAAAATAGGAGGAGGAAGGAGTATTAAGTATGGTCACTGCCTTGAGTTATTTATAAAAAAATAAGAAAGGTGGGATTTAAAAAAATCTAAAAAAATAAAACAGCTGTAGTAACAGAATGGAAGCACATCCAGACTTGCAAGATTCTGTTACTACCGCTGTTTTATTTTTTTAGATTTTTTTAAATCCCACCTTTCTTATTTTTTTATAAATAACTCAAGGCAGTGACCATACTTAATACTCCTTCCTCCTCCTATTTTCCCCACAACAACAGCCCTGTGAGGTGAGTTGGGCTGAGAGAGAGGGACTGACCCAAAGCCACCCAGCTGGCTTTCATGCCTAAGGCAGGGCTAGAACTCACCGTCTCCTGCTTTCTAGCCTGGTGCCTTCACCACTAGACCAAAGAAGTCCTGACTTATATGGCACTGGTTTCTTATTCTACCTGGTTGGGCTGACACCACCTGCTGATGCACTCTGTAGCAGGTGCTGCTTCTGAGGTGATGCCTGAGCTTCTGAGCAGGGGCAGTGGGGAGGCAACACTTGGCCAAGGAAGATGGACCATGGGGCTGGGCTGCCCGAGGGAGGGAAAGCGGTATTATTGAAAAGGAAGACCAGACCTGGTTGCTCTGCATGAGGGTCTCTCTGCCTGGCAAGGAGTGAGGAAGAGATGCGCACACGCTGGATTTTTCTGCTAGGAAGGGAGGACTTTGCCCAGTACAAGAGAAGGGAAAGCCAGTGAGGAAAACAGCAAAGTAAAGCCAGGTCTCTCTGCTCAGCAACAAGAGAGAGGAAAAAGAAAAGCAAGATTTGGGCAGCTCTTGGTAGGACAGGATATGATATTGAAAAAAATACAGTATGTATCAACCCAGTAACAAAAGCAAATTGAAAAATGCTGTCAGCTATGAAATGGCTGCCTTGATCATTTTTTTTAAAAAAAGTATTTAATACATTTGTGTTTAACAGCATAGAGTAATAATACCCTTTGTCTGTAACTCATCGGGGACTTTTATATTAATGTACAAAAAGGTTTCAGTGTTGTGGCCCTTGGGCTAATGAACTAGTCCTCATGCACACTCATGACAGTTTTGAGTCTGAAACTCCTGATCCAGAACAATTCAGGAAGGGCAGTCACTGCACTGAACTACAGCAGGCAAAGAGGTTAGGGAGTGCTGAGTAAAGGAAGAGAGAGGAAAAGGAAGCACCCTTTGAGGAGGTGATTTCTTGGTCTGGTGCACAGTTTGGGGTGATGTATGCCTTGTCTTCTTCAAGAGCCTTGAACCCTGGGCCTTCTCCTCCTTGCAAACCAGGACCTCTGTTTGACAAAAGATAAGGTGTAATTTGGAGTGACTTGTTATGCAAATGACGTAGCCCTGCTGAAAATGCCCTGCTGCTTAGAGAGTGTACAGAGCTGCTATTTCTGTTGCCACAGTGCTTTAGGTCTATTTACTTCTCTCTCGTTGTATGTCTGCATCTTTCATATACAGCCACAGCCTTCCATTAATCATTAACTCTCTCAGTCTCCCTTCAGTAGAAACAACACTGATCAGTCCCTTCCTACAAAAGTATTAGTGTGTGTGTGCGCATGTGTGTGTGTGAGATACATATATATGAGAGCCAGTTTGGTGTAGTGGTGAAGGCACCAGGCTAGAAACTGGGTGACCATGAGTTCTAGTCTCACCTGAGGCCCAAAGCCAGCTGGGGGACCTTGGGCCAGTCCTTCTCTCTCAGCCCTAGGAAGGAGGCAAGGGCAAATCACTTGTGAAAAACCTTGCCAAGAAAGTTGCAGGGACTAGTCCAGGCAATTGTCAGGAATCAACATTGACTTGAAGGCACAAATATATATAGGCAAATTAGCAATTTTAGATATGTGGAAGCCCTTATAGACATTGCCCTGTTAGTATAATGATGGCCATCACTTGTCCTACGACTGGCATCTTTGGACTTGTTTTCTATGCACAAGGACTCAAGTCACCTTTCTAATTTCTCAGTTATAACAAATAGGGTTTGTGCTTATGGGAAAGCTCTGGCTGATGTTTTTGTTTTTGTTTTTTTCTAGGAAAAAGGATTTTGGATGGGAGTAAAGGAAAGCGACTGGAAGGAAAACCAAGACATGCCACAGAAAGGCATTTTCCCCCAAGTCCTCATCAGATCTGTCCCTTTGAAATAAGCTCAAAAGTTGAGGCAGCCACAGAATGAAGGAAGAAAGAAAGGGAAAGCCACTTTTCCAAAATCTGGTTTTCTGGGCTCATTACTGAAACTTTCTTTTCCTTCAGCCCAGCTGCCTCCTGCCAGTATAATACCATGCGGATGGCAATATTTATGATATACTGTATGTACCTTTGAATAATTTGGATTCCATTTACTGTAGGTCAACAACTGGCAGCCTTTGGGAGAAATCCGTCTCTCTGAGGGCCTCTGCTTGGCCCTTTAAGTACTTTTCTGAAATGGAACCTCACCACAGAGTCATATTACAGAAGGTCTACTTTGCAGGAGTTTGGGCCCATCCCCCCCTACCGTCTTCTCAGAGAAGTTCTCTATTGAAACTAGTTGCTGACTCAGTAGCAATCTAAATGAGATTTCCTTGCATTCATCTTCTGGAAAATAATATGATTAATAACTGCAGTTCAGTCCTGCTTTTCTAATATAAGTTAAAGGATAATTCAGAGAGTGAGAAGCCTAAGAAGGATGATTAACTTCTGTTTTGAAAGGATGAGAGGGAGGAGAAACCTAAGGAAGCTTTACGTGATGAGATGATCGCTTTGGATAGGGAATTCACACATTAAAGTTCATATATAAAACATATTGCATAGAAAAAACATATATATCAAGAAAAAGACTCCTTCCCCAGCATGTAATTTTGTGTGTGCAAAGACTTTTCTCCCATCTATGGGGAATCACTAATGCCATTTGTCTATTCGTAGTTTGAAGCAGTTTGTTATGGAACAATCTTACTGCTTTTTTTGCTTTTTGTATATATGAATCTTGAGTCAGGAGCTGGCATTAATTAATGAAATAGAGGGTGTTTATGAACTCTTTTGAATCCTGGAACTGCCTCCCATGCTCAACTGCTTCTGGGCTCTTCCCTGTTCCTCCGAGATGGTCCATTTTGTCATGTTGTCAAGCACATTGTAGTCTCTTTTCTGTTATATCAGACCGCAGTTCTAACCAGATATGTCTGGTTTGAGCCCCTATAAACAAGGCATTAGGGATTACAGCTCTCACTTGTTGCTTGCTTGAAGCATTTTATTATGATCGTGGGTGGTAATTATTGATTGACCTATCTCCTCCAGCGTGATCACTCAGATACCTTTCTATGTATTGTAAATATATGTGTATCTGTAGAAGTTTATATAAATTTAGTTCTTTTCTAACACATAATAAAGTATGTCTGCATTTCAAATTCAAACGCATCTGATTCCTTCAACCTGGTGCTCTATGTATCTTTCAAAGTACAATTGCTTGTAGGCTTGAGGGGATGCTAGGTTGGGGAAGGCTAATCTCACCCATAATACACCTGAGGAACATTTTTGGTGCAGAAATGCTGCACGGTCCCCAAAACTTTAGCAGCTCACTATTATGTATGTCCCACTGACCACAAATTACGTAACTCCAGAAAAAACAGTGGTTTGGGGATATATAAGCTGTACTGAATCTCCCCCCTCCCCCCCCCCAATCTTTTCTTTTGGGAAAAATCAGCAGCTTTGAATACGTAAAGTGACTCCTACTGAACCAAACTGTCCTGTGTTATTATTAAGTGACCCAAGACTATTGTGGGCCTTGTCTTCCTGGCTGCCTCTCTCATCAGCATTGCAAAGAGTTAAGGAATAAGCATTCTGATGACTCTGCTGTTTATTATCAACGTAGTGAAACTGGAAAGGTGAGATGGGCAGGGGAACGCCTTAGCCTACTCACTAGAAAGCTAGAAGGCAGCCACAGGAGGAAACTGGAATGAGAAGAAATATCCATGCTAGCTGGAACCGGGCAAGAAATTCAGCAAATTTGTCAAGCCAATATTATTTCCCCCCCACCAAGGAGTGCTTCAATCAGGTAAGAACTGGTTAAGGAAGGAGCTTGTTTTTTTAATTCCAGGATTAAATGAAAATAACATTATTTCTACATCTGGGATAGAGTAAATGGTCTGGACTAGGTTACCACATAAATAGAACTAGTGCTGCTCCCGAGCATGCCAGCAAGAATGTAAGACAGATGCACCATTAGCTTCCTTATACAGCGTGCTATTCATCGACCCTCCCCAATCTTGTTCTTGTCCATAGTTTTTCAACTAAAGTTCCCATAAGGCCCAGCCACTTAAGTGTTGGCATACACTTTTGATGAAAAGGGGGTGAGCAGAAAGCTTTGAAACCTGTAGAGATAAAATATGAGTGAGGGCTTTGATGCAAAGCTTTTTCTCTTTTTCTTTCATTAGAATTGCTTTTTGATATGGCGGGGTGGCGATAGGGGAGTCTAGAAAAAAACCAAGCAATTTAGCCCTTTGCCATCAAATTCAACGTTCATAATTGCGTACTATACTCCCCAAATCTGGTATCCATCAATGTGAATCATCTATATTTTGTCAGTTAATGAGAAACATAAACAGGAAGTCAGAAGCATAGAAGAATCACCATGACTGTTTCATTCTGCGGAATTGGCTTCACTTTTTTAAAGAAGTAGGTGCGTGAGGATACTTTTAATATGCAGCACACTTAATTTACATTGATCATTTTAGATCAATCCCTCCATCATTTAAGTGATAAAAGAGTGCTGATCAAGTAAGTATATGATATCAGGGAGGCAGGAATAACTAATATATTTGTTCTCAAACTTGCACCATTATATCTGCAGAACTGAATTCCTACTTTCTTATAGTAGCCATGGAACAGATTATGTGCAGTTTTCTTTGCACAACTGTCTTCCTATCCACCGTATTTTTAAAGAATTCCCTTTCTTGAAAAACTACTTTGGGAAAGAACAATTGGAAACAAAGGAAGAGCAATGAGAAGAGATAAGCACTTTTGAGAGGAAGAGAGATGAATGATCAATTTATTAGTATGTTATTTGTAATGAATTGATATTGCCAGCATACTCAATGGTAAGGTGTACAACCTTCCCAGCTCTATTCACAAAGCTAATAAGGAGCTAATGAGCAAATCTGACAATCCTTTGATAAGATGTTTAGCAGAAACACATAGCATACTGTATATGGCTAGAAGGCAGCAGATAGGGAGCAATTTCTACACTGCAGGTGATGCTTGCTTTCCTTGGCTAATGTAATAGCTTCCTGCTTCTTTCACAATCACTAATATCTTTCATATTTTACTCTTTCATATTTTACTCCCAACAACTTCAGCAGAAAAACCAAAAGCTGCAACAAACATATATTTGATCAGTTTGATTCCCCCCCCCACAAAACTGTGTTAAGGGTACCAGAATTGCAAAAAAAATGGACAGCATTCAGATGACTACATGTGATTTGCATGTATCAATGATTTGTTGAAGCAGCCAAATAATGCTGTTCAAATTTTTCTTAGTGGATTGTGCTACTTGTCTATCTAGAATCTGGTTTCATCCAGTTGTTCAAAACAACAGTAAAGCACTTGGACACAAGCATATAACAAAATCATCATCATCATCATCATCATCATCATCATCATCATCATCATCATCATATTAAATAATTCAAACCAGGCTTGAAGTTTTGAGAGAGAAATCTGTTTTTTAAAACTTTCTTGAAGGCCTTGGATCAAAGGTATAAGAAAAGAAAACCACACGAAAAGACTCATAACTCAGAAAACTCTGCTGTTTCTCCCCCCCGATATTGATGTTCCAGCCAGCATGAGCAGAGACCTTGACGGTGACCCAAAGTACCTAAAATATGGGAGGAGGGAATGTTTTATATGCAGCTTGGAGATCCTGAATAAAAGGTGGAATATAAATCTTATAAATAATAACTAAAGGGTTAGGTGGGTGAAGGTGATTATTTTGTTAACCTATGGTGCTTCAGAGGAGGCTTTTATTGTACAATGGCTCTACTCAGACCATGAAATTCTACACACACACACACCAGAAAAAAAACAGTGATCATCATCTTCCATGTGTAATACTCCATATTTCCACACTGCTTCTTGCATCTTTTTTTCTTCTCAACACACACATACACACACATAATCTATGAAAGAAGAAAAGATGGAATAGTTGTGTGATGTAGTAATGGTAGGAGCCATCTGTCTGGAAGGACCTCCAATCCCAGACAGTTGAAGTCTGAAGGCCATAATTAGTTCTTTGAAACAGACCAAAACCAAATTGGTAAACAGTATTGTTGACACAAAGACATGCTATGTGTTCCTATTTTCTGTTCCTGTTGGCATTTGGGAAGTTGCTTTGTGGTCCAGTTAGAACTTCCAACTAGCTGTAGGAACCTCACATTAATCTAGTGCAGAGATAACAAAACAGGGTTAACCCACAATGTAGTGAAAGGAAGGAGCTGTTTCAAGTGGCATACTGGGATGTGGCATTAAATTGAGGCCAAGTTGTCCCTAAGGCACAAAGCTCTTCAGACTGCCCTATTTCCTTGTGTGTGTGCCTTCAAGTCAATGTTGCCTGCTGGTGACCACCTGGACAAGTCCCTGCAGTTTTCTTGGCAAGATTTCAGAAGTGGTTTGCCATTGCCTCCTTCCCAGGACTGAGAGAGAGGGACTGGTGCCTAAGGCGGGACTAGGACTCATGGTCTCCTGGTTTCCAGCCTGGTGCCTTAACCGTTACACCAAACTGGCTCTCTCTTGTTTCCTTACCAGTTGCCTATGCAGGATATCCTGATATCCAGAAGGTAGCTGGTCCAGAGGCTTAATAGGAGGGGAGAATGGTAGGACTGGCAACATCTGGGGGGAGCACAGTCTCCTGTAGTCTTGAGTAGCAGGTCCTTTTCTACCTCTGGGAATGGCAGAGTGTTCTGCTTCTAGATGAGGCTCTAATTGCACAACCTCAATCACAAAAGAGGATGGGTAGGGTGGGTGAGTGTTTCCAAACATAATTTGTCTTCCATGTTTTTCTAGTCTTAACACAGAAATGTGGTAAGAATTATAACAGCACCACCCTTTGAGTAGCAGAACAGAGGACTCTGACTTTAGGTGTTTGTAATCCAGCAGCCGAAAGAGAATGGCAGCTGGCATATTAATCTTCACTGATAAAATATGTTACTTGTATTTTTACCAGACAGCCTGAAATCCAAGAGAACTGTAAAACTGTGTCTCTAATTCCTCAAAAGAGGTACAATTCTACCCAGGAGTGGCTTGATGGCACACAGAGAACTCCTCGTTTACCAAGCTGCATATCCAAATTAAATGCATACAAACATACATACCATCATGCTGTTAACTTTTGGGGTAAGCAGCTTTATGCAGACCACACAAAAGAAGTAAGAAATTGTAAGCCAAAAAAATTACAAGAACGCAAAAGAAATATGACAAAATCTACTTTACAACAACACAATTCATTCTGACTCTTCATATCTTTCTGTCTCTAAAACCACCCCTGCCTCCACCATCTCCATACACTTACATTTTGCTTTTTGTTCTTTATTCAGTATCCATTTTATGGCAACTTTCAATAACTCATCCAGATGTCCCTATATATAAATATTGATCCAAAGCCCAGCACTCTGTCTCAGTAATAATTGCATGTTAGTTTGCTTTTCAAAACATAACATTATTGTTATACATATGCATGTTGTCCACTTGCATGATTCTATAGCTTAAAACCAGTGAGAACTGCTTTGGGGAATGCTAAGAACATCACTGGCTGAAAATTAGAACTGTGGATAAGAATAAAGGGAAATGTATATGTAATCAAAAAAGAATAACTACTGTAAGTTGCACTGCGGTTTTTCTCAGACTGGAGTGTAATTTCTTACTAGGTGATGGGAGTTGTATTTGCAACAGTATGACTTCAATATGACTCAAAGATGACATCATATATGTAAAAAGCAACTAGTATTGTCCTGATTTTGGAGAGAAGGACATGAAGATTAAATGAGCATAATACACACTGGTAAGTTCAGATACAATGATGGCATCAACTGTCAACCCAAGAATAGCCCATCTCCTTTCAGTCATCATTGCTGCAATTTCAGAGGTTAAAGAGGCCCAAGAGATGCTTGCATCTTGGATTAGCCATCATTTTATGATCATAAGTTATAGGTGAGAGGGTGGCATCAGTTCTAAAACCGGAAAGGTCATTTTCCCTATGAATGTGATTACCTAAGAATAAATTATCTTTTCTCAACATGAAACATCTTGATTATATGCCTTACATGTAAGTTGTGGAATATTACAGACCAACTTGCTTTTGTTTTCTTTTATTGATACCTAATCCTTCACTCCATTTTAAGAATATTTTAGATTTGTTCGTTGGACTTCAATGCATACAGCATTGTTTATTTCTCAAGGATTCATGGCCACCATCCTTCTATGTTGTTCATTTAATAAAACAGCCAGGGCTGCACTAGCTCAGGGGTGATGAAAAATGTCTATGTTACCTTCTAGATAAAAAGGAGTGGCAAATCTTACCAATCTAGGGAGTAAACAGAGGAGTGGTGTCAATAGCCAACAAGGAAGAAGCACTACACCCTGATCCAACCACAAAGCCAGAGGGTGCCTTCTTCATGAAGATAAAAAATTCATTGGTGGCTTTATTTAACTACAGTCAGGAACGGCATGGTTAAGTGGGCACGTATTTTTATAATTTATGGATATGACTTTTAGCACTATAGAAATTCTTGGAGAGTCTTCATATGGGCTTCTGAACCTTTTGCTAACCACTTTCACAAATACGGTAGCTTGTGGAGGTTGCACTCATTTATTACTGTATTAGTAAGTTTAAACCATCCCTCAATCGTATCCTCATGGTGGTTTACGAAATGAATAAAACAACTAAAATGTAAATAAAAAGCATTTAAGTATTTAAAGGCATACAGCTATTTTTTTAAAGCACAGCACTGTTTAAACTGCATCTCAAATACCTCAGAAAATAAAAATGGTTTTCCATGCCAAAATGACCATTAAGGAGATGTGTCGCAGACCATTCTGGGGTAAGCGTGGTTGTTAGCGCTGGATAAAATTTTCAAGAGGAAAGAGTATGACACGAGTCCACACACTCACCCTCTCGAATATATTGTTTTAAAAAGTGATGAGTTTCAAGACCCACATTTGGGAATGCCTTTTGAAAATGTATCATGGGAAGTAATCATTAGCCTGGAGAAACAATGAATGGAGGGCAGCTCATCTTGCCGCTCCAGATCCCATTTGACACGCGATTCCTTTTCCGAGCGTGCTGCTTCAAACTAGTTCCCCTTCCAAGCTTTCCTGCGGTATGTTATGAGATTGGTTCATGCTAATAAAGTGTTGTTGTGCAGCTATTGTCGTGACACACCAAGGACAGTGCATTTCCTACTGCTTTGCAGCAGAGGCCGGACGCTCAAGCTCTCCAGTCCTCCAGTTCCTGACTTCCTGCCCTTCTCTCTCCTAGGCCGAGACCAGAAGGTGTGGCCTCCGGTGCACGTTTGCCCAGCTAGTCAAGGCCTTGGATGGGGCCTGACGGGGGCCCTCTGCGGCTCTGAGCTTCTTCGGGGGAGCGAAACCGAGACAAGGAGGTGAGGGGGGCTTCCTCCTCCCACGGCCCCTGCTGCTCTTCTCTGCCTTCTCCTCCCACCAAACCGAATCTGACCACCATTGAACCAAAACAGCCTTGCAGAGGCCCAGAGGCTGGGACAGGCAGCGTCTTACGTGCCTCTGCCCTCCCTGCAGAGTTTATTATAGGTTGGAATCACACAACCCATTGAACTAGGGCGGTGGTTGCCTTTGCACAACTTGCCAAGTGCACGTGGTTTAGCACGCGGGGCAAATCTAGCCCATGGAGTTAGTTGAGTGCCTAGGGTTGTGTACAAGCTCAGACAGCGGGCTAAGTGCATAACCCAGTTAAACCCAGACGTAGTCAATCCGCAAACACTTAGCTCCCTTTTGCTTGCTGCCTCTGGAACTGAGGTTCCCTCACCCCCTACAAATACAGTGACCATACGCCCTTTATTATAAAGGACAGTCCTTTCTTTCAGAAAGCCGTCCTTCAGATTTATTTAATTTCATTATTTATTTTCTTGGTTTCGCTCTTGTATTTTCTTTTGTAAAGCAAAGTTAGGAACACAATTTTTTTTTTTTTGGTTACCCTTATGAACCTCTTTCAGATTTGCCCCTTTTTCAGGTTTGTCCTTTTCAAGAAAATATGGTCACTGTACTGTACCTAAAAAAGCAGTTAGCTTTGAAAGCTTGACTTCTTCGCTTGTAGTTAGTTCCCTTTTCCCTGTCGAATATACGGGGTGAGCTAAACCCAGTAACCCACTCCGAATTTTAAGTCTGGACAAAAATCTGTCACTGTCAATTGTCACTATTACAGAATTCCTGGAACTGACAGTTGGATTTTTCTGTAGGGGTTCTAGTCGTTCTATGAGTCAACTGCCTTCTGCCGTCTTTCCTGATCTTCACCATTTAGCCTTTACCTTTGGACTAACTGCTTCTTACCGTCACGTTCCTAGTCTTATCTCAGAACTGTCCCATCTCTTAATTTTTCTACTGTGCAGTTCCCCGTCTGATCATCTTTTTATCTCTTTATACCACACATTTCTCACACTTGTTTTTCTGTGATCTTTGAGTCTATAGATGTTGACGCATTTGATTTTCTTTTTTCTTTTAGAAATGTTAGTCCCCTTCCTCAACTCTTTATGGTGATAACCAACCCCTTGGCTTGTTTGTTCTATTATCCCAGCTCTAAATGCATTACATGCAGGACTGCTTCTGAAAATAATTCTGAAGTCTCAGTCAGAACAGGATGCAGCAGTCAAGAGACATGACTGCTCCGGGTTGCTCTGATAACGCGCCAGTTTTAAAAGAACTTCACACGCTGTAGTCCCTGTTCAGATGCGCTGATACTTGCTTTTAACCAGTCCTCTCCTTCCTCCCTTTTTGTAAAGAACCTCAAAGTCACAGATAAAACTGCACTGCTAATAATTGTTTAACATTTTAATGAGTAGTAAGCTCCTTGGGGGTGTACTCCTTAGTAAGCCTGTTTAGAAATTCAGTCGGTATTACTTAACAGTTCTAGTCCTGCTTTAGGCATGGAAGCCAGCTGGGTTATTTTGGGCCAGTCAGTCTGTCTCAGCCGTAGGAAAAAGACACCGGCAAGCCACTTTTGAAAAATGTTGCCAAGAAAACTACAGAACTGACCTGATGGCCTGTAATAAGGTCCATGGGGTATACTTTTTAGTAAGCCTGTTTAAAAACGCAAACAGTATTTCTTATTAGAGTTACCAGTCTGTAATTGATATGTAAGAGAAGAAGGAAGAAGAAGAGGAAGAAGAAAAGGAGGAAGAGGAGGACAAAGCTATTCATAATATCAGCTTGCACAGCGTGATCAACAGTAAAGACGAACTGGTAAATTTCTGTTAATAGTATTATCTAGAAATCATCCATTTTGGTTTTCTTTGTTTTGGTTTTCTCAGCTTCAAAAAATTCTACAGTTTTAAAAGTCAGGACAGTCTAAGGAAGAAGGGTAATGCCATGGCAGCTATTCCAGCACCATCACCAGCCACAGGTAAGTGCACTCAGGAATAAGGGGATGATACGATAGAAAGGTTTTTTTAGAGAAAGGAAAACTTGCTACAGGTATTATAATTTGTCATTGTATGGGGTGGAGAATAGGCTTCTTTGCAAAATGATGGGTGTGGAAAATTATTTTCCCTGTGGCCCCCTCATTTCAGCAGTTCAGAGTCTTTTATTATTAAGAACCTGTGGATAGGGATTTAAAAATATATGTACAATATCTAACAAATATATAGCCACTTTATAACAAATTATTAGGTGGAAGGGGAGAAGGTGGTTATCTTCTTTCACTGTTGAATCAAGAGGTGGAGGTGGTGGTAGAGAAACAAAAGAGAAAGTCCTCAGGAGACCTCTTTCTTCCAGTTGGGCCCACATAGACAATTAAACCCATACTTGGGTTTAAACATGGTTTGCTGAATAAATCATAAACCATAATGTAATATGTAACCCTAACCTATAAAGCAAGGTTCTATTCCATTAGATGTTGTTTGTAATAAGATATTTTTATAATGAAAGATAAAATATAACTTGCAAATCCAAAGCAATTTATGTACCATTTTCAGGTTAAATAAAATCGTCCTCTAGCTTTAATTTTCTTTATTTGCAACTGCAAATAAAGCTATGTGAGTGGTAATATAAATATTGCAGATTATAAGAGAGCAAGCTACAGATGTTCTCAGTTGGTGTCCTGCCCAACATTCTTCTAGCCCAGTGGATAAAGAAACATTTCCCTGGAGCTGGAATTCAATTAACTCTAACCCTAAAGCTTGTGAAGATGTGCAGATAAAAAACTGGTTAAATATTAGAAGGTTAGCGTATCTCCCATTATAATAATCAGAGTCCATAGTCAGAAAGCTTAACTCTGTCAAGGCCTGACCTTAACTAAAGAAACCCAGTCCCAACATGAGCCCGATTACCTCTACTGAGCAATGAACAACGAAGTTTAGACGAATGGCATGTCCACCATCCTTTAAGAAGAGAACGATATAGCTATATTTGCCATGATGGAAAGGGATGGAAATCCTTCTTCAGGTCTAGGGACTGCTGCTTTTTTGTAGGCAGGAAGTGCTAAGGTTTATCCTATAAATATATGCTGAACTTTTTTTTCAATTCACCTAAGTTTGCTTAAGTCCTAATGTTTACTCCACAAAGAAGGCACGCCACTGTTTTCTCCACAAACATTCTCAATGCAGGCTACATCAAATGAGCAGGGTTGTGTGTGTGTGTTTTAAAGAAAACCTGGCTTTCTCAGAATCTGAATTCAGAAAAGTGAATGCTAAAGTATTTAGAGAGATTGATATATTCAGCTCTGCAATATTCCTCAAATTTGTGAATTGTAGATGATGAGATAGCACAGAAACTATGGAGTATAAGCCATATGATTTTGATACACGCATTCATAGGCATATGTGCAAGGAGAGGGCAAACAATATTGCATGTGTCATGATATCAGCACCCAAAAGTCATAAATTACATTCTGTGGACATTTTGGGATATGCAGAATGATGCGAGTAATTGTGTAATTCACAATATTTGCACAATGTCATCATGACACTTAGTGCATGGTTTTGTTACCAATGTGGCTTCCACCCAAAACCCAAATCAAGGAAGCTATATTACGTCTTAGTGTAAATTGTGAGCCCACCCTCTTGCCCAAGTTATAAGAATGTAGGTGTCTCTGTGTGTAAAAATATTTGTAGAAATGCTTCAGCTTTGTTTCTGGCCAATTTCCTTCCTCTTTTATCATTTTGAAAACATAGGGAAGCGGTGTTCCTCTGCTGCTGAAACAGCCATGGAATGGAAGGGAGAACTACCCTACATTGACTGTAGCCCATTTAGCTGGTATTTCTTCTGTTCCCATGAACCTGTATAAGCGCTAGGTTTGATTCACACATAAATTATTAGGTATCACCTGCTATAGTGAGCCATGATTTTAATCATGGTTTTCTGACTGAGCCAAAATAGGCTATGTTCATAAAAAGCTTGGTTTGCAAATCACAGCAGCTGTTAGGACAAAATGCTAAAATGGAAACCAAATAAATCAAATAATGGCTCAGTGCAGCATTTCTCAGTCTTTTCAACTTTAAGATGAGTGGACTTCAACTCCTAGAATTCCCCAGCCAGCCATGCTGGCTGGAGAATTCTGGGAGTTGAAGTCCACACATCTTAAAGTCGCTGAGGTTGAGAAACACTGGCTTAGTGCAATGTGCAAATCTAGTCACTAGTTCACTGTTGATTTATATAAGACAATTACTCCAGCACTGGGACAATCCATAGCTAGCCAGTGCATCAGTTTTCCATTTCTTCTTGCGCTGCAATACCATGCAAACCTCAGAACTGTGTCACAGCATTCCTGGAACGATACTAGAATGCCATTCTCCGTTCATTTGTGGTACCATCCATGATGAAGTAGTGCATGACCCCAAGAGCTAATATCTCTGAGCCCATTCCAAATGTGAATTGAGAAGTGACATTGTTGCATGCTTTTTTTTTCTGCCTCTGTTAGATAGGTGATTATGGAGCAAATCTATCTATGTGGTTGCTAACAGTCAACACTGACTTGATGGCACATAGTCAGATAGGTGAGAGGCAGTCTGTACATGCATTAATATATGGAGGTAAAGGTCTGAGATAGTTGAATTAATAATACTGCAAGTACAAGATGATATTTTTTTCCTACTGATTTTTTAAAATCTATCCCATAAGTAAAAATGCAACATAAGCATCCAGGAGAAAGGATATAGTCCAACCAGAGCCATTCTGTTGTCAAGCCTGGCATCAGTTGAAGAACTCCAGGCAGCTGTTGGCATTCCAGGACTCAAGTTGGTTGGTTGTTGGTTTTCTAGGGGTATATGCCATTCTAGTCATAACTGTCTCTGAGCGGCTTATATATTTGAGGGCAATATTAAGATTAAAAATGTAATTAACCAAAAAAACCCATAGTAGTATAACCCAATTTCAACTGCATCAGACTCTGAAGGCTTGCTGAAAAAGCCAAGTCTTGATCACTTTTGAAAGTCCCAAAGAGCAGCAGATGATTTGATCTTCTAAGATATTCTATCTAGAGAAAGGAGAAAGTGACTGAGATGCCATGACTCCGAGGTCCCTGCTGATAGGACTCCTTAGAGAGGGGAAGCTTTCTCTTTGTGATCCTTAAGATACCCTGGTCCTGAGACATGTAGGGCTTTAAAGGTGACAACCAGCATCTTTAGAAGAGAATATGTGTAGCTCAGGGTTGAACTGCGGAGTCCTTGGGGTTCTCTGAGCTTTGTTGTTTTTACCTAGCCGGATAACAAAACATTTGCAAGAAAACAACCAAGCTCAGAGAACCACAAGGACTCCACAATCAGCACCTTGAATTGCACCCAGAAGCAAAATGGTAACCAGTGCAGTTCTTGCAGCATTGGTGGTACATGGGCAAATTGACTGGGGTGGGAGCTGTGAGTCCAAGAAGAACCAGATTATGAACCAGTTCTACACAGTTCACACTCACATTGCCTTTCAAACTAATGTTTGTTAAACAACCTACAGTGTTCCAGCCCATACATTATGCTAAGTCTTGAACCATGGTGTACCAGTTATAATGGGCAGGTTCATATTTTGCAGTAAGCCAAACCATGCAAACCACATCAAGATTCAGTGCATTGAATGAATCTGTTTCAAGAGGTTCAACTGTTGATTACTGTCATAAGGTTTCTGCACTGGGAATCTGGGCCTGTGAGCTTCTTTCAACTTCCCAGATGGGGGTCTTTTGAGATATGTTTTGTGAACTAGCCACTGTGGTTTGTTAATCATAATTTATGGCTTAGCATGTTATGGGAACTCATTCAACCGTGGAACTATGGTTAAATAAGCCATAAACTCAGTTATAGTGTTACACCTGTACATAATGCAGTGTTTAAAATGTTGGCTTATGGCTGCATATGGCTGTCATGAGAAAAGCCTGTGATCAAATAATTCTCCAGTAAATACTTTTTAAGCCTGAAGTCATCTCTGCCTAATGACCTAGTTTCCTGTTTTGTTTGTAGAACAAAATATTAAATAGAGATATCCCTTTTGTAATCTATACAGTATTGTGGTAATATAGCCCATTCTATAACCCAGGCCGCTAATTCCTCAGTATATTGCATATATAGACAAACACAGTCAGCCTGAGGATCATGCCTACCACTAGCCATCCCTCTGCTCCTTCTCTGGAGATTAGCTATAATAATTTGAAACAAATGTCAGAGAGTATGTTACAGCACTTTGAAAGGCACCAAAAGTTATCATTCCTATCATTTGTTTCTCTGCTAATATATGCAACATAAATTGTGAGCTTTGCAAGCATAGGAAACACATCTGTTCATTCAGCCTTTTTTTTTTCTTTTGGCCTCTCCTCTGACTCTGTTTAACTTATTCCAAATAGTTACTGAATGAACTGGCTGTAATGTCACAGAATATTTGCAATCATTCTAATGTCTCAGGAAAAGTTCAGAGTTCTTCAAGGACAGCAGAGCCTATTTATTGGGAAATAAGTGTCTCTTAAACAACCTAGAAACTAACTTTACATATCACGCTGAACCATTGTTGGCATAACCATTGTTTACTGAATAACCTAAAATTAAATGGATTCACACAACATGCTAAGCTAAAACCAAACTACATTATTGCTTAGCGTGTGATGCCAAATTAAGTTTGGTTACAAGACAAACTTTAAGTCAAAATGTGGTTTGCTTGTTTGTATTGTTTTAAACCCGGTCAATGTGGTTTATAAACTATGGGTTATAGCTTAAATTGGGTATAAACCTGGCTATTTGTTCTAGCAAAAAAAAAAAAACATGGTTAAACAAATGTTGTCTTAACATGTTATGCATATAACTAAATATAAGTCTAAACACTGTGTACTGTTAAACAGATGTTCATTTCTGCACAAGTGGAAATGCTGGATAACCTGGAAAGAGCGCTTTGCGAGGGACAGGAACAAAAGGCAGAATTCCACACATCAGGTTTAGCTAACCAGGCAAATCTATAGATTGCTGTCCTGCATACTATTTTTGTTTGTGCCTACTGATGGTTTTGATTGGATGGACAGAGTATAAATCAGTGCTTCATAAATATAATCCAATATTGCAGCAGGGGAAAGGAAAAAAGGGTGAGATGTGTACATGGTCCAATCCCTTGGAAGAGCCCACAGTTTGGAGGGAAAAGGTCTTTATCTGTGGCCTGAAAAACATTGGTCTGGCTCAGAGGCCCTTACTCACGGAAGATCCCTAGACCCTTGTAAAGAGTTTGGCTCCCAAAAATAGTTCTAAGTAACTGGCACATTTTAGAAATCTTTAGAAACGAGCTGCTGGCAGAACATTTGTTCCTGCTGGCAATTCCACTGTTGTACATAATTAGATATTCACTGAGTAAGCCTGATTACCTAAGTCCTGAAAACACTACAGAACAGACCTGTTTCTGCCTTGTAACTGGAGCCAAAGGTTGAAGGCTTTTATTGAGCAACTCTTCCATCAGCTTCAGTGGCACTTTTCTTCCACTTGCATTTTGGCCTTGGGTGCCAGTTATTTCATCAAAAGTACTTGTCCCTAATCATTTTAAGCTTTTGCTGTGCAATTGTTAATGCATATTATGCCTTCAGCATTTCATCTTACGTAGCAAATGCATTTTTCTTGTGGAAAAGGAATCCGTGTGCATGTGCATGTTGTAGGATGCACGCATGCATGCTTCTGGAAGACTCAGTATATTTATTAGTATATTTACTCCCACCCCTTCCCCAAGGATAGCATAGCCCCTTCCTGGTCTTCTTGTCAGGATAACAACTCTGGGAAGTAGGTTAGACTGAAGGGGGAAAAAATGGCTTTTGCAAGGCCATTCCTCCCCCCGATTTTCATCATGGAAGGGAATTTGAATCTGGATTTTCTGGTCCAAATCAAGTTTTCCAACTGCTGCTATATTGACATCTCCCTCTTTTCTCCTCCATGAAGGGGTGCTGACCAGTCCATTTATGAAGAAGATGAGCACACCTACATCACAAGAGGATGCCAATATGGCCGTTATAGGAGGTATTAGGGATATCTTTCCAGAACTAACCAGGGACTAACAGAACTAACACTCCAACACTAATGGAAAGCCAGTAACACAGACTGCAGGTGGTAGACAGGCCAGTGTATCCTATGTATTAGAGCCCTCTGGATGTACTCCTAGATCAGACCTGCATCTCTTTGACACGAGGGCAGGTATTTTTTTCAGCCAACAGCTGCACTTTATGTATATATACGAGTACATACATGTAGGTACACATACAGGCACACTGTGAATGCTTTTGGACATCTAAAGGCAAGGGAATGATGCTGATCTTGTTCATCACTTGAGGCTAGCTAAGCACACTTTATTTCCTGATAGGAACCTGCAGGGTGTTATGCCATTCATTTTTGGCAGGGTGCCCCTGCATTTGGTGGTCATGATCCTAGGAGTAGTGGCAGCTTCCATCCTGGCTCTACACTTTTTTTAAAAAGCCGCACTGGTATCCTCCGAGTTCTGTGTTCAAAGGCAGGCCTCTACCTCCTGGGTATATGTTGCCTATTTTGACTCAAAGGAAATGGGAAAGCACTGTGCAGGAGAATAAAACCCTTAACCACTGTTAACATTAGCTGCTCTAACTCTAACAAACTAACTCTAGATTTTACTTTCAAATTTGTTACCTTAACACCAGCAAACATAATGGTAGATAAAATGGTAAAGGGAAGGAGGGATCTGTGTTACAGAGAAACAAGCTGGTGAGAGAGCAGCTTGTTCCCAAGCTAACGATAACTGAGAGCTTGGTTTGTTAGATCTGCTCAAAAACTATCTGTTCTAAACGGTTTCCTTTCTCTATTTTGTTTCAAGCTGTTATCGCCGTGGTTTTTCTCACTCTCCTTTCAGTCTTCGTGCTAATTGTTATTTACCTGTACAAGAATAAAGGCAGCTATCACACTTATGAACAACCTGAAGCAGATCCAGAGGGATCAGTCCAAATGGAAGACTTCCCCTATAAACATGAAAAAGAAGAATATTTCATATAGAAGATACCAGACTGCTGCCATGTTTTGGACTGTCATATCTTAAATAAACAAAGGTATTAGGTTTGTCATTCTTTTAATCAAGGAATTAAAGCTGTATTATTAAATTTTGTTTGTATACTTGTGGAGCTCAGGCTTAAATAGAGCAGTGAAATGGAAGTTACAAACCTTGACAGCAGCACACAGTCTGCCTATTTATGGACTGCAGTAATGCAACCCTGAGATAGGAAAACGTGAGATTACAGTGCAGAGATCTTGTGGTCATCACTCTGTCCAATTCTAAGTACTTAAAATTAGAATAGCCACACTATTAGAGGATCTACCACCTCTGAACCCCAGATAATTGGCTATCTGGTATAGGAAAGAAAATGCCAGGGTGAGGATTGACCTAATTGTCAGCTATTTTTACATTTCTCCACCTGTACAGCAAAAATAAAACCCATGTCAATCCAAATGTATACTTCACATGTAAAACTGCTTCTCTGCTGTTATAAGCCTCCACACACGGAAGTGAGGCTTCAAAACTTCTAATGCCATGTGAAACTGCTCTACAGGTGCTGGTTTCAGCTGAGCAAACCTACTCCCAAACTCCAAGGAATGAGCTGCCTTGCATCTTTCTGAACCCTCTTACTATGAGTATTTCTCACACTTTCTTTAATGGCTCTTTTATTCATTCTACTCCAGCAATAAGCCTAGAATCTCTGCACATCAAGCCTTTGGTTCTGTGAAGAAACATTTGCATTCACATTTTTAAACACATGCTTTACACTCTAAGGGAAATACCTAAACTTCCAGTATATCAAAAGGAACGGTAATGAAATAACTTGTATGGTAATGCATTGTATGAGGGCAAATATTGTCATAGGTGCAGAAAGTGAGAGGAAGAATTTGATATATTAGCAGCTCTTGACAGAAACAGGGTGGGGGGATAGACTGCCATCTTTAAAATACAGTACTTGGAAGAAAGTGGAACAACATATTTGCTTTCATTTCTGTGCATTCAGGACTACAGACAGTTCTAAACATTTTTTAGAAGCATATCGGTTTACTCTATTCTTATTAACAGCAGAACCAGGAGGCAGATTTCCATTGGAACTATGGCATATGGAACCAAAATATTTTAACTCTTTCTTCCCCTGCCTCAGTCCCAAAGAAAATAATCTTCTCTACATTGCTGTTATCTGAGAAAAGAAAGCATGCATGGCTGCTAATGACGATACTTTTGTGGGACTAATAGCAGTTTCAGGGAAGGGGGGGGGGATTTTAACTGGCTCTGCATTAATTTAAAAATATACTAATGGGCTTCCTACTGAGACACTTAACATTACATGTAGTGATACATGTGTTAAATATTTATAACGTCCCCTATATCATATAATTTATAATTTTTCACACTGACAGCACAGTGAACAAAGGAACAAATACAGAGGCAAAATCAATTTTAAAACTAGCAGCATTATAATGGACAGGAATTTGAGAGGCTAAATTCAACTTTGTCACTTTATTCAAATTTTCAAAATAGCCTTTATTCTACTTGTTTTTAGTATAAAAAGTCCACAAGTTAAGTGCACCACAGTGTTTACAGAGAGACCTAGAATCTCAACCTTCCATTAACAGTCAGCTGTATGGATGACCATGACACATACAACACACAGAAAATTAAGATAAAATATATTCACCAAATCTGATAATTTTTTAATTCATAAAAACAAAAGCAACAACAACAACAAAAGATTGAGGATCCCTGAAATATTCTTCTTAATCCTAATAAGACTTCATTGTACCCAAGTCACTTTTTAAATGTTTGCATCTAAAAAACAAAAACAAAAAAAAACCATCAATCCAGCAAACTTGCACACTGATTGACATCTACCAGACATTTTTGTCTCTCTAGCCTGAATAACATTCCACTTAAGAGTTATTACGACACTGGGTTGCTTCCCCCCTTTTTAAAAAAATTGTTTCATTTTAAGCTCTTTTGTTTGTTTGTTGAAACATACAGGAAGCATTTAATGAAATGTTGTATTTCTGGCACCAAAACATGGCTTCAGTTAGATTTTTAATGTGCAAAGGAGTCCAAGATCACTTAAGAATATATAAAAAAGGACATCCTGGGACATCGCTCTAGCTGCATACTTTCCTAGCAAAGGAACAGAGAGCAAACGTGAGTAGAAGGAACCAACCGAGGGGTTCTAAATGGAGAACTGAGCCCCCCATCACACTCTTCTATCAGGCATCCACCATAGATGCCCCCCAAAACATGTCTGACTATCTTTCTCCCCAGCACCATTGATTCTAAGGAAAAGGAAAGATGTATCTTACTCCTATTCATTGGCAACAGGTATATCTGATCTGCAAGCTTTGTACGTTTGATACGTGGAAGCCAGTTTTCTTCCAACTTCCATTCCTCCCTCCCCTGGCCTTTTCTCATCCCCACCCCCACCCCCATTTTTATATATAGTTGATTAATAAAAGCCAGACACAGAGAAAGAGAGAGCTGCAGTGAAAAGCACTCTCTGGTGGAACTAAAGGGAAATTTGAGGGATAGCTTAGCTCACATTCATTTCACAATTTAACCCCCAAGGTTTAAGAGAGGCACTCCTACCATTGCATGGTTTTGTATTTTAAAATTTGCTTTTTTTTTTTTTTTAAAGAAAAAGTGCCTGAAGGGTCAGGGCACCAGGAAGACACCCCGCATCGTCATGTGTCTAAATTGCAACTCCAGGTTAATACGACTAAAGCGGTTACATTGTGAGAAGTGCTGACAGTATGTGATGTCGTTCCTTTACACCAATGTAGCCCCCCTTCCTTCACCAGATGGTGTAGCCACCATCAGAGCCCCCCATGAAGAAGTTGCCCTTCCGTTGCGTCACTAGCACGTTGGCACCCTGCATGACAGCCAGCTGGGCTGCATTGGGAGGACAGCCAGGAGGAGGAGGCTGAAAGAGAACAACAGCAACATATTAGAGGGATGCTGTATGACAAGGCTAACACAGTGCAGACTACAGACTAGACAGAGGCTGCCAAGCTGGGCTACAAAAATCAGCTTTAGCAAGCTTCTTGCATGGCTTCCAGGATGCACAAGTTACACTAAGCTAGGTTTTTCAAACTGTGTGGTTGGGTGAATAAACCATGGGCTAGGATTTTTTTTTTTTTTACCAACCTCCCTGACAATTCTGCAGATAAGTTAGGTTTGCACGTCAAGCAGGCTTCCCTTTCAGAAGGGGTAATTCCCCAATGAAGATGGAATCTTTACAAGAGGGTCAAAGCATCCTCAGAAGAGCCCTAGTGTTACCCTGAGCTCAAGTAAATGTATTTATGTTATCATTCTCACTACCATCTATAGACAGAGGTAAAAGCATAAGAGACACTGGACCCTTGTGGGCCTTTTTCTTGTCTTATCTCATAGTTTAAAGCATATTAATATTTGAGGTTGAAAATCCTTAAAATCCTTGCAGGTACTTTGCATTTACAACTGTGAAATATAGAGAAAAAATCATTTCTTTTACATCTTGGTAACTGCACGTACATGGTAATATACCACTATTACCATGTAAGGGGGGAGCGGGACTAGCTTCATAATCCTCTTCCCTAGATAGCAAATACAATATTCTGTGCCTACTTACAGGGATATTAGCAGGAGCACCAGTAGCAAACCTTGCTCCAGCATCAAAGCCACCTTCCACAAGTACAGTAGATCCAGGAGGATAGACAGGGCCAACAGGATAAAAAGCCACTGGAACTGAAGAACCCATTGGCCCCATAGCTACAGACTGAGCCACAGGAAGGTACAATGAAGCACCAGGATAAGCTGCAGACATGGTAGGTACAGTGGCACCTCCAGGATGTACAAAACTTGGGCGGTACAGCTGAGGAAGAAAGCACATATAAAGCATCCCTTATTCCATGGCTATATACTCAGAGATTTTCCATCTCAAAGGATCTGGTTCTACTTAGGAAGATGTTTGCCACCGATAATGGAAATAAGCTTCCTAAACTAAACAAACAAAAAAATCAATTTAAACCAGCTGGCTAGATGTTTCTGGGAAGTTCACAACATGAGATACAAAGTTTACAGCCTTCTCCCATTTGTCCTTCACTGTGTAAAACTTTTGACTTAAAAGAGTGTGTGAGTGAGGGGCCACACTTGGCCTTAAAGTGCCAGATTCTGCAGTTCCAAAAGTGGAAGAGGTCAGGATAAAAACTTTATTTTTATTTCATTTACATTCAATTAAAATTTAATTGCTTTGAATTAACAGGAGTATTTCCCAGTCCCATATGGAATAATTTCCCCCTTCTGTCACTTTAAATATGACAACAGAATGAGAACTTTAAAAAGATCTCTTTCATGGTCTGCATGCAACTCTAGGGTTTCAGGACATACACTTCTGTTTTTGGCATCAATGGGTATCTTGATAATTATGCTGACCATGGGCTTATAATGAAGCATTCAGGCAGATGTATAGTTTGCCAATGACTGAAATCACAACTCAAACTGTAAAAATTTAGCAAAACCACCTCCAGAAGAGGAACTGGAAACCTTCTAGAGAACATCCTTGTCACTAAATCAGCTGAGTGGTAGCATCCCGCTGATGATAGCCCATCTAGATCATCAAGTATCAATCATAACTGTTACTTTAGTAAGTGAAAACACATTTTTGATCTGATCCAGAAAGTCTCATGTTATTTCTTATAATAGAAAGTGATTGAGTACATACTTCTGAGTAGGCAGGAGGGGCATCAGAATAAGGTGGAGCCTGAGGAAGTGGTATGGTCTGCGGGAACACAGACGGATTACCAGGAGGTTGAACTGGATAGGAAGGCTGTGTAGGATATTGACCTAAGAGAAGAAATTAATCAATGTCAGCACAATTGTCCTTCCTGTAAATGGAACAGGAAGTATATGTAATCAAGGAAAAAACCCTCCTTTGGGAGCCTTATCTGAAAGAAAGAAAAAGCTTTCTGCAAAGAACAATGTCTAAACAGCAAAAGATCCAAAGATAGTGTTTTTGCTCTTTAATATGCAAAAGACTCCATAGATGAGATCCAGGTGATGTCATTCAAGCCAGCTTTCCCACTAAGCTTAAGAACAAAGGTAGTCAATAATTACATTGTATTTTTAAATGGACAGTGCCATCTCATGGGCACCATAAATATCTTTCAGAAGTCAACAAGCAAACAATTGCTTAACCATTATTCTCTCCACTGGATACCAAATCCATTTTAAGCCTTCTGATTTAACTATCAAGCAAGCAAAAACACTGATATTTGAGACTGGTCTCCTCGCAATACAATCCTGGGCTTTTCTACTGAGAAATAAGTCCCAATGAGTTCTACAGGACTTACTCCCAGACAAGGATGCATAGGATCGCAATGTAAGCATTTTTCCCAATATGCATGGTATTGCACATATGGCATGGCACTTTTACCCAGGTTGTAGGATTCTTCCCTCCACCCCACCCCACCCCACCCCAAGCACTGCTGCCTATCTTTTGATGTTTCCAAAGCAGCCAGACTGTTCAAATGCTCCACTCTGGCCTGCCACAAACACAACCAAAGGAAGCACATGCAGAATTCAGCTACAGGAAGCTAGACTTAAATGTTACACTCCAGCCTCCTATAGTTGAAACTTTATATATGCTCACGCATTAGGCTATCTGTGCCAGAACAAACAGCTTTAGTTTGGATGGTACAGTCAAGCAGTCAGATTGTTTTTGTGGCTTAAAAGAGTTGAACTGATCTTCTGTAGCTAGGCAGCATTCAAGCAATTTAATCTTGAAATAAAGTATTGAAAAAAGTCATAGGAAGCAATGAGGAACAAGCAAAGGACATACACAGTTAATACCATCAATCGTGAAAAGTCACTAATAACCTAAATGAATTCAGTTGGGGCAGCCCCTTTTACTAGGGACTATTTAATAAGCTTTCTGGCTCAGAGAGACTTTAAGTCCAACTAGTTCATATTCTAGATTCCTCAAGAGACCATAATGTTTTAAGAGTACTCAGATTGTTTTTATCTGTTTTGTACTTTTATTCTCAGTTGTTTATATTAACATCTTATACATTTTAAGAAATATACTGAACTGTACTGTTTCATTTTGGAACGCGTCAGAATTAAACAGGTGCAGGATATCCCATTTAGGGCAACGTTTGGACTATGAAATCTACCACATCAGTTAGTCAGTCAGTCAGTCTTTCTTTCTGATTCATGAGAAGTAAACTGTAAGTTTGGGTATGACAGTTCAAATGCAAGCCTTTGAACTGGCTAGGCTTGCTTCTAGATAAACCTGAAGAGGACTGGACTATCAGTGTACTATTTTAACCACTATCCAAATACCAATCTGTAACTTGATTTCCTTTCTGTTTAGGACCTGCGGAGACAAAATACACCCATTATCCAGGAAACACAGAGTTAAAGGCAAATGCAGGGCAACACCTAACAAGGAGCAAAAGGAGAAATGAGTGTGAGTCCTCCCCAGGGGCACCCAGATGTTGTGGTTTGCTTCTGCATTCCTTGTGTTCACTGTTCATTTCTTTCCAATTTTAATCAAAGGACAGGTGCAATCCATTCTGGTGTCAAACCCCTCCCTGAGGATCAGACACAATTTCTCTTCAGTTAGCCTTCCAGCCTCTGCCCAACCTCAGCCTCTCCCTACAACCCTGACATTTACAAAGGAAATAAGGAGTGTTATAAGACAGAGCCACTTTCTGAGAGGAGGAAATGAAGCCCATTGGCCCTTGCTTGTGTACAAGTCCTCAGCGTACTCTTTAGGAGCAAGGAGAGAATTTGCCTGCATGTCAAGGGATTCCACGTAACCCCAGGGGTTGTGAATGCAGAGCAAGAATGGTCAGCTGCTAGTTCTGGAACCGTAGAAGGACTTCGGCATCTAAGCCCTTTTCAGGACTAACGAGCAGGGCAGAATATTAGGCCCCGTGCCTGCCCGTTGCAGTCCTGTGCCAAAAGGGAAGCTCACACCAAATCGTCGACTTCAAGGGACTTTCTACTTGTCAAAGCTCCGATCCTCCCCCCAAGCTCTGGCGACCAATCTCTACCCTTCTCCCAAATTTCAGAGTTTTCACGTGCATGTGACACCACGGGCTCCGTTCCAAGAGATTATGCCACCATAAAGCCCTTCGCCCGTACGGTGCCTCCGGACTCGCGTGTTTCCGGTGAACATCTGGAAAGGGAAAGAAGGGCTCTCTTGGCCCACGAACACCCGCTCCAGCGGCAGCCAAAGGGTTAACAACCTGCCAAGGAAGGTTACGTCATAGCCACCTAACATGAGCCCTTCCCCCATTGCCTTCACCCCGACTTTGCCCGGCTTTCCATTGGTCAGGGCTCCCGCCAGTCATTGAGTAGGCCCACACATAACAACACTGCGGCGGTAGCCTTAAAGGAGCAGCGACCCTGCTAAAGGTGAGGCGATTGGGTGGGGTTGTGGGGGGGGAGGAGGAGGAAATCAGCCTCTTGCCTTTGCTGTTCATGATGGCGGCGTTGAAAACGAACGAACAAGAAAGACGGTTCACCCGACTACGAAAGGTTCAGGCGACTCGCTAGCTTTAGCGGCGGCGTCGACCCTCCTCGCTCAATCACTTCCTTGTTGTTGTCGCTGCAGCCCTGATGAAAGGGGTTACGTTAAGCGCGTGACGTCACGCCGCAGCGCTACCGCGAGGAACGGAACAGAAAGAACCGCCGGCTGTGTCAAGGGGTGTGGCCACAGAGGCGAGGGGGCGTGGCGCTCGGTCTCGAGCAGGCGGGGGAGGGGAGTCGAAGGGGGTGGTCGACGCGTTCTGTGCCGAAAACGGAGAGACAGCCGCGCGGGCTAATTGTCTTGTCACCTATCCCTTCACGTTTATACAATTGTATTTATTTATTTCTTTAGCATATTTATGCAGCCGCCCGTCTCACAGACACGTGACTCTGGGCGGCGTACAACACAACAACAGTTAAAAACTCCGTAACGATCTCAAGTAAAATAAGCAGATAACGTAAAGTGATAAAACCCCAAAAAGCGGAAGAACAACAGTCCCTTGACCTCAGGCAGCCACCTTGCAGGCTCCCCATGGGATCCCCAAGGCTGACGAAAAAACCGTGTCTGGAGGGCCTTTGGGAGGCTAAGGGAGATGGGGCTAGCGGCCGCTAGGCCGCAGCGGAAAAGGCCCGCTGCCGGGGCCCCGCCTGATGGAGCTCCTTTGGAGACGGTGTTGCCTTTAAAACTCCGGCACCCACCCCCTCCTGCCTGAGCCGCTGGGACGGGTAGCTGTCACTGGGAAGAGGCCGTCCCTCAAATAATCTGGCCCCTTGTCACGAAGGGCTTTAAAGGTCAAAACCAACACCTTGAATTGCCCCCAGAAGCAAACCAGCAACCAGTGCAGCTTGGGGAACAGAGGTGTAATGTGTGCTCTCCTAGGGGAACACACAACTATCCATGCAGCCATGTTCTGCACTAGCTGAAGCTTCTGGATACTCTTCAAGGGCAGCCCCATGTAGCACGTGTTGCAGTAATCCACTCGGGAGGTGACCAGGGCATGAGTGACTGTGATTAGAGCCTTGCAATCCAGGAAAGGGCGCAACTGGCGTACAACACAAAGCTCTGCAAAGGCCCTCCTAGCCACGGCTGCCAACTGCTCCTCAAGCAGGAGTCGAGAGTCTAGAAGGACACCCAGACTGCGCACTGGGTCTGTCTGGGGTAGGGCAACCCCATCGAGTACCAAAGGTGGTAAAGTCCCAGAACCAGAAGGCCCAAAAACCCAGAGCCATTCAATCTTGCCAGGGTTCAGCTGGAGTCCGTTGTTCCCCATCCAAATTCCTACAGCTTCCAGGCACCAGGACAAGACGTCAACTGCATCACTTAGTTCACCAGGGACAGAGATATATAAGTGAATATCATCAGCATACTGATGATACCTCATCCCATGGCGACAGATGATCCCACCCAGTGGCTTCATAGGAGTGGAGAAAGAATCGAACCCTGCGGAACCCCACATAATAAGGGTCGAGGGCAGGACCTCTTCCTCCCAATTAATACTGCCTGGTGCCTGCCTTGCAGAAAGGAAGAGAACCAGCACAATACTGCGTTGCTCATTCCCAGCCCACGGAGCCAATCCAGAAGGATACCATGGTCAGTGGTACTGAAGGCTGCCAAGAGGTCAAGGAGAACAAGGATAGATGCACTTCCCCCATCCCACTCCCACCAGAGATCATCCAAAAGCAGGACCAGTGCCATCTCCGTCCCATCTCCAGGCCTGAATCCTGACTGAAAGGGGTCCAGATAATCTGCTTCATCCCGGGCCCACTGAAGCTGCTGTGCAACCACCTTCTCCATGATCTTCCCTAAAAAAGGGAGGTTCGATACTGGACGAAAATTGTCCAGTATGTTAGGATCCAGCAATGGCTTCTTGAGAAGGGGGTGAATCAACGCCTCCTTAAGGGCGGGGGCGGAACCACTCCCTCTCTCAAAGAAGAATTAACCATCACTAGGATCCAACCACATGACACCCCTCAGGCAGCCTTAACTAGCCAGAAGGGGCATGGATCTAAGGAGCAACGGCTGAGCTCACAGTCCTAAGGACCCTGTCCACTTCCTCAGGTCCAACAGGATCAAACTATTCCCAGATAACCAGGCAAGACTGTACCCAAGGCATCTTCCCTGGACCTGTACCAAAGCTGGCATCCAACTTGGAATGAATGCGAGCGATTTTGTGTGACGGATGCTCTGCAAATTCCTCCACACAGCCTTGTAAGCAGACCTCTGAGTCCCCCTTCCCTAGGAGGACTTGGGTCACTTTAAACAAGGCTGCCAGTTGGCTATCTGTAGTCGCAATAAGGGCAGAGAAGTATTGCCGCTTTGCTGCCCTTTCCACCACAAGGTAGGCCTTAATAGCGGCTTTTACCTGTTTTTCGTCGAGTTTGAATTGCCAAATAAAATAAAATACAAATACAATACAACTAAGAGAAATGAAACCTTAAAAACAGTGTATGTTCTTCCCATGTACTGAAATGGCATCCAAAGAGATGTGAATTGTCCTCAGAGTGCCCCCAAATTGGAGTGCCACCACAGAAAAGACCTCTATCCATCACTAAATTAAATTAATTTTTTAATTTAAAAAGTTACATTTTGTTTTCTTGATCTGTTGAACATCTTCCCACCCTCTCACTCAAGGTGATTCTCTCCTAGGAAAAAGTGCTTCTAGCCAGATATCAACTGAGCTCATGTTGGAGCAATAATTGTAGTAGAGCAAAAAAGCTATTTTAAATAAATGAGTTTGTTTATATAAATTGAGTGTGAACAAACACATATTACATTCAAAGCATGTAATCCTAAATTCCAGAGCATACAAAAGATATTACAAACATGAGTGCTTAATTTTGTAAATATTTTATAGTATATTTCTTTGCATAAATTCTCCAGAAGCAGCCTCATTACATTCAGTAGGGCTTATTCCGAATAAATGTGAGATAGTGCTTTCCAAATTGCTTGTCAGATGTGGCAAGATACAATCAAACATGCCCTCCCGTGTAATTCCATATGCTGCAGGATCTCAATCAGATGAAAATAGAGGCAGCATTCATATATCCCTTCCAAGAAATAGCTGTAGATAACTCATTCAACAGCAGTTTGGTTGCAGTGAAACCTGGAAAGATCTCACAGCACAGACCTGAGGGTAACGAATGAACAGTTATTAATTATTACCAACTTATGTCTCCTGCAAAGAATGAGGAAAAAAATTGACAATTCTTCTGAGGCCATCATAGGCAAAGATATCCAAGATCAGAAAATACTCAAATTCCAAAATACTGCACAATTATCTATATTGCAGCAGATTAGCCCTCTTTTAGCTGTCGCCTTCAGCTTACGTTATACAGCAACTCCCACTAATCATGCCAACTATGGATGATGGTAATTGTAGTCCAGCACTTATGGAGGGAGCCAGGCTAGGATATGCTGTAGTATGCCAAAATTACAAGTGCAAAGCAGCACATTCCCCTGAGACTTAGTTTAATTTAATCCCAGTTTGCTGAATAAGCCACAGTGGTTGATTTGTGCTACGCCAAAATCCAGCAAATCCCATTATGGCTTAGTGTGATGTGACAACTAGATCTTAGTGTTACATTGACTCTGAAGCCAGTAAGGAATCATATATCAGCCCCATGTAGCCTGTTTGCAATACATTATATATTAAAATATAATATATTAAAAGGCTATTTTCATATATTGATTAATGCTAATCAATTTTGTTTTCTTTTGCTGCAAAACAATTCTCAGGGAGATAAAAATCACATGGGAAATACCCTTTACTCTCAGGAGTTACTTTTCCAGCTAAAGAACTGCATACATGTCCAAATCCATGCATATGAGGTCAGTGGAAGGTCCTTGCACATATGTTTCAAGTTTAATTAAGCCACAAGGCTTTTAATTTGCACTAGAGAGTGCTGTTTTTTAACATCAAAAGCCTGCTTTCTCATGCTGCTGTGTTCACATCAGCTTTAGCTAATGGTAGTTACTTTAAGGGCTAACCTCATGGATTTTATCATAGCAGAAAGGTGGTGTACTGACCTCCATGCCCCTGGTTGCTTCCTAGGGGTAGGCAGACTTACACAAAGGGTCTTACTGGCAACATTTTCTTGCACAATACTTACTCTGAGAACCATGATCAGCTTTTCAGTCCAGGTTGTCCTTCACCTTCATTCTTCAAAGTGTTACATTTCTTTTCCAAAACCCAGTTGATTGTTAGCTATTCTCCTTGGCTTCCCTTATCCACCAGATGGCTGTACTGAGTTTTACAAATCCTGGTGCTGGGAATTCGGCCAATCCCAGCTTCACTTGATGCTTAGGACCCAGAAGTGTTTGTTTCAGGGATCCATACTAACAGAATGAGGTTTGAGGTTTGAATAACCATGACTGGAAGCTTGTAAAAATGTGGTGTGAGTTCTTCATTTTAAAAAAGTAATAATTACATGCAATTTGTTTTCTTGAGAAGGTGAAATTAGACTTCTGTAATGTATTACACATAGAGCTGTATTTGAAGAATGCTTGGAAACCTCAGTTACTGCAAGCTATAGCAATTACGTAGGAGCAGCTATAGGGAGTTTCTTCCACCAGTTTTTCAACAATAGCATTGTCTTCCAGTCCAGATTATGCCACTGTTTCAAGCACTGGTACTGAACTATAAAGCTCAAGATTCATCTGCCCAAATGTCCTGTTCATCATAGGAAGTTCTTCTCTGACACCTTCAAATATTTAAAGTCAGGTATGTGGACCTAGTAAAGAGAGTTTTTTTCTGTTACACAAAAATGGAATATCCTCCTCAAGGTAGCATAGCACCAACTGATATCATTCCAGCACCATCTGGAGAAGACATTTTTATTTCATCAGAATTGTTAGCATGTTCCCTGTTGATTTTTCATTGATTTTTTAAAAATTGTTTTATATTTTGCTCTATGCCACCTTGATAGTTTTACTGAAGGGAGATTTAAAAACATTTTAATTAAGATAAAGCAAATGAGTACTAGGTGAGATCTCCTCCAAACACATCAATCCACCCTGGTTCTTGCTGCAGACACTGGCTCATAGCATAATCCTAAACAAATCTATAAGAGGTTAGACCCCACTGGCTCAGTTTTATATGACTTCTTTCCCAATAAGTGTGCACTGCATCATAACCTAAGATATGGACAACATTATTATATGTTATTAGGCTTAAGTAGTCATTATAAAGCCTCATCAGATAGCAACATCTGGTTAACCTTCCCTGGGCTCAGGTGCTAAGCAAGACTGGGCTTGGTTCATACTTAGATGAGAAACCACTAGGAAAGCCACAACTTTAGTTAATTAGTTTAGTTAGGCAGGGTAGTTGAAACACATCTTGAATGAACACTGCATAGTTTCTGCCCATGTAGTCACCAGGAGTCAGGCTTGACTAGACGAGTTTTTACTCTTCACTCATTACAGCTGTAGTACAAGGGGGGAAAACACCATTACAGGTACCCGGTTTAAGAACGAGTTCCATTCCCAAGGTCTGTCCTTAAGTCGAATTTGTATGTAAGCCAGAACGGTATTATTGTATAATACTGTATAGGTAGTATTGTGTAATGAACTCAAACCATTGTGTATTTAACTTGAATCATTGTGTATTCAACTCGAATTTTGCTACAATAGGCTCTGTTCTGTTTTTTTTAGTAATAATTTTATTAAAGTTTACAAATACAAAGATAAAAGAGTAATACAAACTAAGAGAAATATAAAAAACTTGAATCATTGTGTATTCAACTCGAATTTTGCTACAATAGGCTCTGTTCTGTTTTTTTTAGTAATAATTTTATTAAAGTTTACAAATACAAAGATAAAAGAGTAATACAAACTAAGAGAAATATAAAAAATGAGAAAAAGAAAAGTACAAAGTGAGAGAAAAAAGAAAAGAAAAAAAGAAAAAAAAGAAATATAAAAGTGACTCCCTCCTCCCTCCAGACAAGTATAAACAACTCCTGTAATTCAACACCTTCTCTAGTATTTCAGTAATAAAAAAGATCTCTTCTTCCCATAACTCATCATTTATCAATAAACAAATTGTAAAAACTCATCATTCAGTTCTATTCAACAAAAGTCCATTAAGAGCTACCAGAAATTTTAAATAGATAGATAGATAGATAGATAGATAGATAGATAGATAGATAGATAGATAGATAAACCTTAATGAAATAAATCCATTTTGTGCTCCAACTTATCCCTTTCTCTAAGAGATAAAGCAAAAGAAATCTCTCCCTAGTAGTAAACAAATCTTTAAAGCTTCATCATTCAGTCCTGGTCATAAAGAAATTCCATTAATAACTACCAGAAACCACAATATATATATTTTAACTCTGACCAAATAAGTTCACTTTGTAGTCCTTCCATTTACTTTTAAAAAGCTTGGTCTTTAATCCGGACAAATAGTGTCCCACAAGTTGATTTCTTATCTTTTTCTCTTTGTCTCCTCTCAAGAACAGCTTCGGTAATTTAATAGGTCCCTTTTGTAAGTCCAAAATGAAAAAGTTATGCAAATCACTCTTCTGATTTATTATTTGCATGTCCCCTTTAGTTATTAAAACAGCCAGTTTCATTTGTAAATCCACTCTGGCATCTTGTCCCATGTCACTCTTATAGTCTGTGATTTTTAAATCTGTTTTCAAATACATATTCAAATCAGCCTCAG